CTTCTGCTCAGCCTTCCGAGTAGCCGGAATTACAGGCATGCGCTACCACGCCCGGCTGATATTTTGATTTATTGTAGAGATAAGGTCTCGCTGCCCAGGCGGGCCTCGAACCCACGGACTCAGGCAATCCATTCACCTCAGCCTCCCAAAGGTGCGGGATTACAGGCTGAGCACCGAGCCCGGCTGGCCTCTGTCTTGATGGTGGCTTGGACCGGAGGGCTGTTGTCAGTGGGAGACTCGGTGGCTCTGTTCTGGAGGTATGTAGAAGGTAAAGCCAGTAGGGCTTGACGACCGATTAAAAGCAAAGAGCGAGAAGAAGGGAAAGGTCAAGGCTGACTCTGAGGTTCTCGCCTTAGTGACTGGAAAACTGGAGTGCGTTGACAGAGACCGAAAAGACTTCAGAAAGGCCAGCAAAGGGTGGGGGAGCAATCAGGGCCTTAGTCTTGGACGTGGGAGATGGGCAAGATGGCATGCCTTCTGGAACTCCAGGTGGAGGTTCAGAGGAAGTAGTGAGGTCTGCAGTCCAGGGCAGAGATATAAACATAAGAGCCATTCGAGAGGTGGCATGCCTGGATGAGATCACAAGGGAGTCCTGTAGACACAGGAGAGAAGAACCTGGGGACTGGATCCTGGGGACTTCAAAATTAAGAGATTGAGAAGATTAGAAGAATCAGCAGTGGGGATGAGGAAAGGCAGTGAACTAGGAGAAACCAGGAGAGAGAAGGGTCTTATCATTAAAAGGAAAGTGCTTCAGGGAGGAGAGGGCAGCCCTGCAAAGCCTGGGTAGCCATAATGATGTAATAATCACCTGGAATAGGCCAGAAGTGTCATCATGAGTAAACTGCCCGCCACTACCTCCAGGCAAGTCCTGCATAGGCTGACAGATAGCAGATGTTTTCGACAAGGGTCTGGTCAAATGTTTCTCCCTATGATTTGAATCCCAGCCTCTCCCATCACAGGCTGTGCTTAATGCCCCCACCCCAATGTCCTCATCTTTAAGCTGCCTACCCTTGTGTGCTCACACCTGCCATTCATTGCCCTGTCACAGGAAATCTGAAGGTATTCAGGACTAGGGGCCCAGGAAGCCTGGGTTCTTGCCTTGTCGCTAACTAACTTGCTTTGGGACCCTGAGCAGATCTTTTCCCCTGTCCATGCTAAGTGTCCCCATGGGTGAGGCGGTTGCTGGGTTAGGTGGTTTCAGGGCCCTCCCAGCTCTGATATCCATGGGCTTGAAGTCACCAGAAAAAGTGGAGGCAGAGGTCCACCCAGACCTCCCTCCCCACAACCTCTAAACCTTTGCAGATCTCACCGGGAAGCCCGTCTGTGTCGTCAGGGACAAGTTCTCTCTGGCCCCCCTGTCTGAGCCTACACTCTTCTCCCGCTGTCTGATGGGGCTACCCGCCATCTCTGTTCCCATCGGAGACCCACAGTCTAATCGGAATCCCCAGCTTTCTTCTGGTGGGTACCTGAGTCACACCCCCTCTACCCTGGGGTTCACACCTCTCCCTAAGGGCTGCCCTACTCAGGTGGGTACCTGAGAGGGAAAGCAGGGCCATTGCTCTCAGGTTGGTGGGGTCCATCATGGGACCTTAATCTTGGGGTCTCCACTCCTTCCCTCTTTTCCTCAGGAAGCCTCATCTTTGCATTCCTCCCTGCCTCTAGGTCCTAGCCCTCGGAAATGCAACCTGGCTTGGATCTGAGGTGCTTGGGAAGTAATAACAAGCAGAAGACAAACAGATGTTGTGACTGCGGTCACATGGCTTGCAGCTGCACATAGGAATGCTGTATGAAATATTTAGCAGCTTGCGTGCTCTGGCCCTGGCCCATCAGAACAGTTGGCCACAGTGCTGGGGTAGCATCCCAGAGGCCTCTGCTCTGCCAATACCCTGTCCATTACTGAGGTGCTGGATAGGCAGGTGGGTGGGGGCGGGGGGAGATCCTGGAGACAGGACTGGGGCTGCCAGTAGAGGGCAGAGACGTTTGGAAGACTGGCTGTGGCTCTCTGCCAACCTCTCCGGAGAGTAGTTCAATATCTTAGTAACTGGCCCAGCCGTGTTTCCTGAATCTTAGTCTTGGCTTCAGGGACCTCAAAGAGCTAGATTAAACCACACATGCCTTGACACAGGTAGCCAGATGTTCGCCAGCAACTCCTAGTAATGCCACAGGCTAAGACATCAACATCAGCAATCTCTAGAAGGGAAGTGAACACACTTCCCCTGTTCCCCATGGCATGAATCTTGATCCTTCTCCCTCATGGGTACTGCCTACTTTTCCCCTTTAAGATCTAGTCGGGAAAGCCAGGAAGGAGAGCAGACGCCTCTACCTAGGCCTGGTGCCATAGGGAGGGGAGGAGGGCCCCAGGCATCAGTTGGCAGAATCTTGTCCCTCCTCCCAGAGGTCTGGAAGAGGGAGTTGAAGGAGCTGGCTTCCCGGGTGGCCTTCTTCACCAAGGAGAACGAGCTGAAGAGCAAAGAGGTGGGTGCAGTACACAGGAGCCAGTCTGGGAAGAGAGGACATGGATCCATCCCTTGCAACGAGACCCCTCCCAAGTGTGTTCAACCTAACAGAGTGGGGAGGAGGGGGCGGATGAACACAAGTATAGGGGAGGACGGACACAGTGAGGAAGAGCGCACATCCAAGAAGGGCTCCCAGAACAGGTGGCATTTGGGGACCATTCATATCTAACAAGGGAGGAGGGGAAGGGAGGAGAGGGAGGGAAGGGGTGCTCACAGATGGACTGGGGAGGCATTCTGAGCAGAGGCACCCAAACCACAGTTTAGAAGCTGGCAAAGGCAGGGCATCTTTGAAGATGGGTATAAGTGAGCAGTGATGGGGAGGTGAGAAAGGGCTGACTTTGAATGTGGGGAGGAGGAGCTTGTTAATTTCCAAATTTAGTTTAGTGTCAAATCTTATAAGGAGTGAAGAATCACTGAAGGTTTTCAAACAGCATGGGGTAACCTCATAGGTGCTATTTGGTGGTAAGATAGCAAAGACACTTGAGAGGCAGCTTGAAGGTGGTAGTTGGAATTGTTCTTTGGACAGTCTGGCACTGCCCTTTGTCTTGGGCAAACAGAGTGGAGAGGCAGAAACCTGGCTTCTCCTTCCTGCTCTTGGCTAACTCACTGCAGCACTCAGGGCAACTCAGCTAAGCTGTCTGGGTCTTAGTTTTCTTATCTTTAAATGAGAAGAAGGATACTACCAGTCTTAACTGGAATTGCAAGGGCAGGAGGCCCCAGGCCTTATGCCCAGAGGCCTGGCTTCCCAGGGCAAAGAAAGGATGCCAATTTTGGGGGGGATGGGCTGGAGGCAGCTGAGCTAGGCATTAAGGTAATCAGTGGGTCCTTGGTGCAGAATACTATTGTCAAATCTCTGATGGGTGGGGCGTAGGGGCAGCAGGGAGAACTATCCTGGGAAGAAGAACAATGACCACCAGGGGGTGTCCAGCATTCAACTCTGCTGCCAAGTTCCAGGAGGAAGAGCTTTTGAATTTAAGCTATTCTGAAAATAGCTGATAATAGCAGGACTGGCTGCTGGGGAGTAGGCCAGGGATGTCAAAGGAGGGGTCAAAGACAGGGTGGGAGTAGTCTTTATGATATTCTGGTTCCTAGCAATGCTGGGATTTGGGGGGTGGACACCCTGGAGTTGTGACCTGGCCTCCTGCTCTCCTCTTCCCTCTTGCTGACTGCCTGGAGTCTCTGGCCACTTTTGTCCCAGCAGAAGGAGGCACCTCCACGGGAGCAGGCGGCAAAGTACTCAGCAGAAACCGGTAGGCTCATCCCCACTTCCACACGAGCTGTTAGTCGTCATGGCTCCCGCCAGGGCCAGCGAAATCATCCTTCAAGAAGAGATGGAGTCCAGACTGTCCTTCTGCAGGATCAGGATCTGCTGGTGAGGCCCTGGGCTGAGAGCAGAGGTTGTAGTGATTGCTGCTCCATGTTCCGGCTCTCCCAGCTAGGACTCTCACAAACTGCATTAGGGGACAGTCCCTCCCAGGGATACTGGCTCTCAAGACTGGAAGGCTGGCAGTCTCCAGCCCTGGGAATCAGCAGCCTGGGCTCTACCCCCTGCTGCCTCCAAGCTCCAGTGTGAGCCATTCATTAATGTGTGAGTCCTTTCCCCTCTCTGGGCCCTAGCTCCATGATTTATCCACTGGGATCTGAACACATTGCCATGGGGGATCTGATCCAGCTGGGGCATCTGAGGAGTTCATGAAGGGGACCGCAATGGTGGGTTGAGAAGCATGGAGAAAGAGGTCCGGCCTGGTGTGTTCTCAAACCACACCCCAAGGCTGGTCACTACACTTCTATGAGCACAGATCCCAGCTCCTCTGTGCTCAAGTTTCCCCATTGAGGCCTGAGATGAGTCCATGCCTCATTCCAGTGGGGCCAGGCACTGAAGGTCCCCAAGAAAGTGCACATGTGTCCTCTGGGAAAGTTCAGTCCTAGACCCAGCATCCCGCCACCCTCTTTGAGACCAGCGCTGACAGGCACACAGTCCCTCTGAAGCCTTGCCAAAGTGCAGCAAAGTATTTAGAGCAGACAGGGCCTGGCATCCCCATCCCACAGATGGGGAGACTGAGGCCCTGCCAGGTGGCATTTGGTAGTCCAGCTTATCCAGAGAAGGAGCTGTTTAGCCAGGACTAAGGTGCTTTCTCCACCATAGGGCGGCCTCATCTCACCTGGAATTAGGTTCTCAGGTCCTGTGGGGAGGGGGCACAGGGCAGGTAAGTTGGATACAGAGGAGGGCCCCGGGGCAGTTCAGGGTGGGTTTCTACAATGGGTGAGTACCCTGGTGGGGGTGGTAAGGGTGGGCTCCTAAGCAGGCCAGGCCCAGTTCCCAATCTTCCAGGAAAAGGCAGACCTGTTGGGGACTGACAGACCTTTGCAGGTCTTGGGAAGACTGCCCGCCAAACGCTGAGGGGGCCTCACTTTCCTAGGACTGCAGGTACTTCACCTCCCACCTTGGGCCCCAAGTTCAGCCTGCCGTAGCCACAGCCATCACCAGCAGTCTGGCCTAGTGAGCCCCCATAGCCCATCCAAGACACAGCTGGATCTTTTCCTGATGCTACCTGACTGGATAACGCAGGGGAAAATGAGCCCTGAAATAGCCAGGATGTCAGAGGCTAAGCGTGTGGCTGGGAGCCAGGTGTATCCACAGCTCTGCAGGAGGGAATCCCAAGCCAAGCAGTTTGCAGAACCAGCCCGCACTGCCCCTCAGGCTGCACACTGGGACTCCCCTGCGTCTTTGCTGACATCTCCAGACTCTGGGAGCTTCAGGGTGGGGCATCCCATGGGCTCCCTGAAACCCTCCCACCAAGGACCTGGGCATGTGGGACTCGGTGCGTCTCCAGGGAGCTGACTGGCCAGCTCTGACTTAGCCTGTCCAGTGAGGGACCCTGGGGTGCAGCCAGCCCAAGCAAGCTCCAGGGATGAGAGGTCCACATATAGGGTATCTGAGGCTTCTTTCTGCTGCCAACTCCTGGCCGGGTGTCCTTTCTCAAGACCCCAGATTCTTCAACTATCCATCGGGGAGGTTAAGAATCTTCCTCCGAGACTGTTGTGAGAGAAAGTCCTCTGTAAAGTGCAAAGGTCACTGTAGAGGGAAAGCAGGGACCATCATGGGAACAAGTTTAGCTACACAGGTGGCTCTGAGAACCCACATTGTGGGGAGGAACCCCCTGGTGTCCTCCGAGCCCCCATTTGCCCGTGCTCCTGACTGAAACATGCTACCCTCCTGCCCACAGGTCCTGGAGCTTCTTTGTCAAATCCTGGAAACAGACTCACTGAGCATGATCCAGTTCTGGCTGCTCAATGCACCACCCAGGGGTGAGGATGCATCCCCGTGGTCCCCCTGTCTGCATGGAGGCTGCCAAGGCCTTGCCCTTGCTCTTTGGTTCTGCAGGACTCAGACGTCACTCTGCTCTCACACCAGGGCCTTCTACCAGGGCAAACCCTCCTCCATTTTCAAAGTCCCAAACTACCCCTTCCTAGCCACACACAATCACTGCTTCCTCCTCCCTCCTTCCTCAGCAGGATTTCTGTGACCTGGCTCCTTAGAGGGGACCCCTCCCTCATGTTGACCCCAGGCCTGGGCACCTGGGGTGGGAAAGAAATCTGAAGACATGTCTAGCAGACACAGTTCCTCACACACCCCTGTGGGAGACTCACATGCACACAAACGTGAATACATGCCCATCGGAACGCACACATGTATGCATGTGAACACATGTATACACAAGCAAGTGCACATGGGAACTGTGTGTGGAGGGTGCATCTAGGTGAGATGGTGGGGTGTGATGAGAACCGGGAAGCTAATTGGAGAGGGCTTCCTGCACAGGAGAGTGGAGGAGGAAGAAGGGAAGGAAGGAGACCAGTCTCTAGTAGACTTCCCAGAGGGTCTCGAGGTTGGGTTTGGTGGGCAAGTGGGGGCAAGAACAAGGTATGCACGTGTCTGTGTGGAGGAAGAGAGGTGTGGAAGGGCTGGGCACACTCTGCACACACAGGGGCCAGGAGAGACGGGGGGCCTCCCTCAAGGGACCTGTAGGCCAAAAGTGTGGTGGTTAGAGAAAGTACCCTGGACCAGGGCTGAGCAAGAGCTGGAGGCCCTGCTCCCAGCTGTCCCATCAGGGACAGAAAGGAGGCTGGGGGCTGAGGACTGTGTCCCTGGCTGTGCTTTCAGAAAAAGATCTGGCTCTGGGACTCCTGCAGACAGCTGTGGCTCAGCTCCTCCCCCAGTCCCTCACATCCATTTCCGCAGAAAAGCTTCTGGACCAGCTGCAAGAAGCTCAAGAACCCCTTCAAGAAAAGCAAAAGCCACCCTCCAGGTGAGTGCTGTACCCTCGCCCACCCTTCTGTTCTCAGAACTGCTCCCTCCCGTTCAGTCTTCTGTCCTCCCGGGGGAAGCCAGCAGGGCCAAGAGGAGGGAGCCTAGGCTGACAGAGCCTGCCTGAAGGAGGACATCCAGCCCCCCCTCCAGGCACCCTGGGTTCTTCCCCTGCTACAGGAAGGCCCATGCAGTCAGACACCAGTTGCAGAGGTGGGGGCTGCCTGAGGGGGTCACTGGTGTGTGTTGTAATGAGATAGGACTGGACACACCACATCTAGCCCTCAAGCAGAGCTCGGTCTATGGGAAGACACAGTAGAGAGGGAATGCTAACAAGACAGGCCATAGTACCTGAATCCTGGCAGTAAGTGGCTTGATGCTGGAGGAGAAAGAGTACAAATTGGGAAGGACTTAAAACACAAAGAATGGAGTCTGAGTGTCACGTGACCAGCGATATTGACACTCCATATGTTGCCTGATACCACTGGGTGCTTTATGTATCTCGAGTCCACGCAACAATCCTCTAAGGCAGCATTCCCTCCATCTTGTGGAAGAGAAAACTGAGGTTCAGGAACAGTTGAATGACCTTCCCAAAGTCACCTGGCTGGTCAGCAGGAGCTGGGATTCAGACTCAGGCCTCTCTGACTCCCAAGCCCAGCAGCGCTCAGATTCACCCAAGGAGCTTGCTGAAAAGGCAGATCCCTAGAGAATCTCATCCAGCAGATCAGGGTGAAGTGGGAGATCTACCTTTTTAACAATCACCAGAGCATTTCTGACAGTTTGGGGGCCACTTGGATAAGATTTTAGTGAGCAAATGGGAGCGCAGGGGAAGGTTATTCTAAGAGGCAAACCAGCCAGGGTGAAGGCACGGAAGTCAGGAATGTGCACACTTTGGGGACAGTTGAGTTTGGGGTGTCTGGAGCGTGAGTGGGTTTGGTGAAAGGAGGGCAGGGGTAGGGGGGTTGGACCAAGGCTTGTTGAAGGCATGGACCTGGGCTTGGTGTTCCCTTCCACTCAGAGCAGAGGAGGAATGGCATAGTAAAGGAAGGCAGGCTTGACCGTAACCTTGGGCAAGCCACCTCCTATTTTTGAGTCTCAGCTTCACCATCTCTCGAAAACCCTCTCGAGGAATCATGGGAAGGGAGAAGAACGTTGAATACATGAGACGAGATGGCAAGGGGGTTGTAAAGCCTAACACAAACAAAACAAAAGCACCATTCATGCTTGTAATTCATTTGAGAGTCAGGGATTCTTGTCTCCAAGGAGGGGGGTTCCCATCTGCAAAGAAACCAGGAGGGTGAGTAGGTAGGGGCTGAGGGGTGGGCTGGTGCAGTGGCTCTCCCTTACGGCTCCAGGGACAAGCCAGGGAGCATACCCTCTTGATTCCCAAGTGGCCACAGTCAGCAACGGCGCTACAGTTGCCTGCTTGGGGCCAGGCAGGAAGGCAGCCTCATGCCAGCCATGGACAGATGCTTTCTGGTTCTCCAGGAGGGGTGACTCTTGCTGCTCCCTGGAGCAGACAGCTGACTGTACCTACACCACCTTCCTCCCCTCCCTGTCTGCCCTGCCATCTGAGAGGGTAGGTTTCCAGAATGACCTACCCTGCCTCTCCTTTGTGTTTGGTTATAGTCAATCCCCAAAGAAAATGAAGACACCACCTCTATCAAAAAGCGAAAAACCAGGTAAGACTCCATGTAGTGGGTCATTCTGAGGGCTTACGAGGTCCCCCCGGCTGGATTTCTCAGGGGAGTCAAGGCAACTTGGAGATGGGTCCCTGCCAAGAAGGCTGCTCATTTCACCTATTCATTCATTCATTCATTCAACAAATGTTTATTGAGCACCTACTATGTGCTGGGTTCCCGAGACCATTGGGGAAGAATCCAGACACGTTCCAGCTGTCATGGAACTTCCACCCTAGTGAGGAGGAGCATAGACACCTGAAGGGGATGGTTGGGACTTGGGCTATAAGGAAGATAAAGTAGGGCGATGTGGAAGGTGGTGAGAAGGACTGGTGGGTGGGGAGAGGATTTCTTGAGCTGAATGGCAGGAGGATTCCAGCCTTAAACAGATCTGGGAAGAGCCAATGAGCTCCCACCCGCCTGGCGTGCTCAGGTAGCCGTGGCCCTCTGGGTGGGGAAAGTGGTAAGAGATGAGATGGGACAGGAGGGAGGGGCAGGCCTATGGGAAAGGCCGAGTGTGTGCATGGGGGTGCACGGGAGGGTTATAAGCAGGGTGGGCGTGCCCCCTGGCTGCTGTGTGGAGCAGGGATTGTGGGGGACAAGTAGGGCTGGGGGAGGTCACTGCAGTCGCCCTGGTGCCTTAGACAAGAGTAGGGGGGAGTGGAGGAGGACGGTCTAAAGAGGAGGAAAGAGGAAATAAATCTGTGAGGTACCTTACTCTCCCCCATTAGACTGCCAAGGATCCTGAGTGCCAGGCAGAGGGTCTCACATAGGGTGGACACTTGATATCTGTTACCTGGATGTTGATGAGGAGAGGGTTGGGGGTGGGGCTCAGAGGAGGGAATCTGCTCAGCTCAGGTCACCAGCAGAGCCAGGGCAGAAGCTGGGCTTGACTCAGCCCCCGCCCCCACCCTCCCACTCCATGTGAGCACATCCACCCAGGGTCTTTCTGGGAGAAGGGCAACTTCCAGGTAGGGGTCTGGCCCTTTGGCGTCCTCTCCTGCCTGCTATCTCTTCCCTCCCTCCCAGAGTACATTGGAAAAGCACAAGTTCTCCGGATGCACACAAGCTCGAACACAGAAGAGAAAGCATCAAAGCCAGGGGCAGACGGTTGAGAAGCCCTTGCAGCTTTGCCAGACTTGCTCAAGAGCAGCCGCCAAGTTTGGGAGTGTTTCCGTCTCTAACACCACCACAGCAGCACCTAATTCCTACTGCAAAGAGTCACTAAATAAAATCCTGTCTTCACTGTGAGAGGACAGTTCCACTTTCCTAACAATGGTAGTAGGTCTGTGCTTGGGGTCATTTATTCCAGGAGAGGAGGTGAGTTGCACTGAGCCATCACCACACCCATGGAGAAAGCCAAAGAAACCCATGTGGGGCTTTCCTGGTTCTTGGATGTTCTAGAGAACTGATGGCAGGCGGTAATGAGGGTAGCCTGAGAAAGGGGTTCTGTGTCTCCTGGAGCCAAGACACACTGGGGCTCTGGGGAGCTTAGAACAGAGGTCAGGGAACCCATGGGCCTCCTTAGAATGATCACTGTCACCAATGACTCAGTTTCTACCACATGGTGGCCACTGAGGCAGCAACTTAGGTAAGAGCTCATAATGAGCACTAGGGGAATTGTTCTACATAGTTTACATGTGGTCTTATGCTTCATTCTCCCAAAAGTCCTAAGAGGTAGAATATTGTAGATTATCTGATCAAAGCTCAGGTGAAGCAACTTGTCCAACGTCAAACAGTCAATGAGTGGCAGAGAGCCAGGATCCAAACCCAAGATGCCTGACTCTGGGATCCCTGCTCTTAACAACTGTACTCTACTGCATTATGGATAGCGATCCTCATCAAAACCTGTGGTTACAGTTCTGAAAAGCATAAGGGTTGGCAACACAATGGTTGGCAAAATCAAGGAGGGAAGAGGCACTGTACAAACATGACCCAGATGGCAGCTGGGATGTCTTCTAGCTTTTAAGATCTACAGATGTTGACCTTAACCCTCTTGGAAGTCAAATGTCTTCCTTGTGGTTTCTGCAAATTCCCTGGAAAAGCAGAGTGGGGAGGAGGCATTGAGGATTGACGATATCACAGTCCCCTATGGCTCCAAGCTTCTATTTTACTGCCTTAATTCATGGGCTAAGTGGACTTAGTTCCATGGACTATGGTGCCATTTTGTAACTGCAATTCTGCTCCACCTCATATTCATTCAGATGGATTCAGTGCCCCTGGGTTGGCCCAAATAACCCATTCACACAAAACTTTTCCGTGCATCAGGCTTTGGTCAAGATCAGTAGATGGACTAGCGTCATATTCAATATTTAACCACCTTGTGTTGAAAGCCCCTGATCACCCTTCCACTGGGGATACCCCCCATTGGCAGTGCATATAACTATGTTGCAGCTATGTCCAGCAGAGTCTCTCAACACTGTTCCCTAAGGGACTGCCTTGTCCTCTTGAACATCAGGATGAACTTTTCTTGGGTGTCAGGATGTCATGTCCACTTCCTGGCCACTCTAAGTTTTCTCTGACTCCAGACCCTGGAAGTTCTCTTTCCCTTTCCCCTGTCACTCTCTCTGAAGAATGAAGACAGATTTTTCTCTTCCATCTTCTTCCCTGTGGCTCTTGGTCCTTCCTGGGATCCAGTCTCCTTAGCCACGGTGGTAGCCATTGTTTGGGGGCTACCCAGGAGCATGAAACCTAGCACTGTACAACCAGTGACCCCCATTCCTTGGTAGGGGACTGGTTTAGGAGTAGGACAAGCATGTGATCCAAGTTGGGCCAATCTCAGTCTGTCCTTGGGAGTGTTTTGGGTTGATGAAGGAATATTGGAGTTTCATAGGTACCATCATTTGGTCATCATTGCACCATGGGGACCAAGCCCTGGATGCAGTCACACCTGATGTCCCTGATTCTCCCCCATCCTTCCCCATATATAAGGCAATAAAATTCCTTCCTCTTATAGTTCATTTTTTATGAGTAATTCTTTTACATAAAATTTACCATCTTAACCATTTTAAAGTATACAGCCCAGTGACATTAAGTACTTTCACACTGCTGCGTTATTATCACTACCATCTGTCCACAGAACTCTTTTCAATTTGCAAAACTGAAACTCTATGCCCACTAAACACTAACTCCCTATTCTTTCCTCTCTAGTTCCTGCAACCGCCATTCTATTTTCTGGTTCCATGAATTTGACTACTCTGGGTACCTCACATAAATGGAATCATACAGTATTTGTCATATTTCACTTATGTGCTCAAGGTTCATCCATGTGGCATGCATCAGAATTCCTTCCTTTTAAAGACTGAATAAGATTCCATTGTATGAATATACCACACTGTTTATTCATTTATTCATTGATGGACACATGGGTTGTTTCCAATTTTTGATTATGGCAAATGATGCTGCTATGAGAATGGGTGTACAAAAGTAGAAGATTTTATCTCACATTTGATCAAAAGAGTCTGGAATAACCTCAGGTCATATAGCTGTAAGTGTAGGTTCTAGAATTAGAATCCAGAGTCCTGATTCTAAGTCACTGATAAGAACCCTAGGTTTCTAACTTGAACCAGTCCCATGCTCCCATCATGAATTTTGTTACAATTTTTTACCTCTTGTACTGTTTCTTAGTGTTTCTTTATGTTTACCTTTTAAAAAACATAAATAAGCCGGGTGCAATGGCTCACACCTTTGGGAGATGGAGGGAAGAGGATTGCCTGAGCCCAGGGGTTTGAGACCAGCCTGGGTAACTTGGCAAAACCTTGTCTTTACAATAGACCAAAAAATTAGCCAGACATGGTGGCATGTACCTGTGGTTCTAGCTACTTGGAAGGCTGAGGCAGAAGGATCACCTGATCCCAGCAGGCTGAGGCTGCGGTGGCTGTGATAGTGTCACTCACTCCAGCCAGTGTGATAGAGTGAGACTCTGGCTCCAAATAAATAAATAAATAAATAAACAAATAAACAAATAGATGTAAAGAAATATTGTTTTTTCCTAAGCAATAAAATCCATCCATGGCAGTCATGGCTTTGGTGTGTCGTCTATAAACGTTTCTCAAACACATGAACATAAATATAGACATATTAAAATTTGAGGGAAACTGCCAGGGGAGGAAGGCGCACACCTCATCTACAAGGATAACTGCATAACGAACATTTGTATACCTAAACCTGAATTATATCTCACATCTTTAAAATAATAAAAAAAAATAAAATTTGAAATGTTCCTCCATGCGCCACCTAAGTTCATTTGTGCTACCACCAGAGTATAGTTAGTACATCTGAGAAGCATTAATGAGAAAAGATTGCAATTGGAAGATGAGAGAGCTACTTCTGGGACTTTTGGCTTTTGGACACATGTTGGGGGTCAGCTTCTCCCTGTCCAGTTTGCTGGCTCAAACCTAAATAGAAGCCGGGCTCAGTGGTTCAGCCTGTAATCCCGAGCTTTGGGAGGCTGAGGTGAGTGGAGTGCCTGAGCCCGCAGGTTCGAGACCCGCCTGGGCAATTTGGCGAGACCTCATCTCTACAATAAATCAAAAATTAGCCGGGTGTGGTAGCGCATGCCTGTAGTTCCAGCTACTTGGAAGTCTGAGGCGGAAGGATCGCCAGAGCCCAGCAGGCCGAGGCTGCGGTGGCCGGAAGTGGCCACTGCACTCCAGTCTAGGTGACAGAGTGAGACTCCAACTCAAAAACAAAAAAACAAAAATAAACCTAAATAGACAAGAATAAACTGGAGACCTATTTTCATAAAGGCAGGGGAAGGTTGTCCCAAGGTCAAACAGCCCATGGGAAATCCCCATCTTAGTGGCACAAGGTGGTTTCCAGCTTAGGCTTGGACAACTCCAGTAACAGGCATTTTGGGCATTATATTTTCTGGCTACCCAAACCGTAGCTCCATCCCTGGAACCACAAAGATAAACTCTTTTCCCTCTCTCCCTGGCTATCTAAGTTTTGCCCTTGTCACATCTCTTTTGTAAGTATCATTTGGACCGCAACCTCTTTCAAATATTTATACCTCTTATTTTATATTTTTCTTGTCTGATTGCATTAGCTAATAGTTCCGGAGAATAATATTAAATAATAATAATGATAGTGGACATCTTAATATAATTTTTCACCATTGGACATTAATTGATTTTATTTATATGTCAAACATATGTAAACTGAAATATTCAGATATTCACGAAGTTCGTGTCAGGAAGTATCCTTCCATCCTTAAGTGTCTAGATTACACAGAAATCTTATGAGGTAGACAATCTTGTTACGACAACTTTACAGATAGGGAGCTGAAAGGAGCAGTAACTTGCTGAAGGTCACACAAGTAATAAGAGGCAGATTCAGGATTCAATCCCTGGAAGTTTGAATGGGCAGATTCCGTCCTCTTGACCCTGTAAACCCCATACTAACTCCATGTGGTAGATACCATTATCAGCACAATTTTAGGGACAAGAATTTTTTTTTTTTGAGTTGGAATCTCTGGAGTGCAGAGTGCAGAGGGTGCACACTGGAGTGCAGTGGCACGCTCCCGGCCACCGCAGCCTCGACCTGCTGGGCTCCGGTGATCCTTCCGCCTCAGCCTTCCAAGTAGCTGGAACTACAGGCACGCTTTACCACACCCAGCTAATTTTGATTTATTGTAGAGATGAGGTCTTGCCAATTTGCCCAGGCGGGTCTTGTACCCACGGGCTCAGACAATCCACCCACCTCAGCCTCCCAAAGCGCGGGATTACAGGTTGAGCAACCGAGCCCGGCTGGGACAAGAATTTTAAAAGAGAGTTTAATTTATTTTTCCAAGGTTAAAGCGCTCGTAAGTATATCCAGATAGGATGGTCTAATAGTTCGCTTCTGCTACACATTGGGTTAATTTCTTCTGTATGCTGTGTGATTTTCTGAAAACTGTCTTCCATTTCACCGCCTTGGTTTTCTGTCATGTCAGCTACACTTTTGATGTGTATATTACTCTACTATATTTGTTAATTCTGCAGTGGTATCATTTTCATATTTACTTTCTTTCCTTAGTCACTACAACCTCCTACTCAACTCATTCTATTGCCTTGTTTCAACTTCAATCTCTTGTTTCAAAGAGTTCAAGTTATCTTTAATTTATTGAGAATGCAAA